CAGATCTTATATATATATATATCAATAAGGTGCGGTTAAAAAGATTTCCAAAAGGCGTTTTTATCTTATTTTTAATGATTTTTCACAAATTATTTTCTTTTTAATTTTTTTGAGAGATGTTTTCTTTTTTAATTAAGTAAAGCAATTAACGTTTTCTTAGAATTTTAATTTATCTATTTATTTTCAAACTTATCTACTAATATTTTAATCCATACAATGCACATACATACTTATTATATATAACTAAGGTTTATAATAAATTATATATAAAAACAAATATTAAATTTTGATACATAAATAATATTTAAAAATTTTATAAACTGATATTTTTTAAATATATAAATTATATTTAGATTTATGATAAATAGTTTATATTGTAACATAATTTTTTATTTTAAAATATGGATATTTGATTCATAAATATTTTTAATAAATAAAAATTGAATTTGATAAAAAGTTAAAGAAATTTCTACAAACATTTTTGTCGAAAAAAAATATTAAAAATATTATTATGCAAGATAATAACTTCATGTTTAATATTTAAGGATCTACGAGGAATACCTTTTTTTTATAATTCAAAATAGATTTAAAGTATTATGCTAGGAAATAAGGTTTATCATGAGTTAAGTGATTTGTCTTTGTTTAAATTTGGTCCTTGTTTTTGCTAGATTGTTTTTTAAAACATAAACCCAACCCCGATCAACCAAAGTCTAAAAAAAAATGAGAATAAAGTTGAGTCAATCCAATTTTGTTACACTGTATTATTTTTAATTATGTATAGTTTAATCGTAAGATAAAAGAAGTGCAAAACTTACATTAATTATATTTTACAATATGTTTTAAAATAAATAATTTTATTATAAATATAATATTAAGTTATAAAAATGTTAATATCAAGTTTGATTCCCACATTTGTTAAAATAGTCTTTGGTCATTGGAAGTTATGTCTTGCAAACATAGATTAGTTAGAGCTGTCAAAATAGGTTAGTCTGGTCCATATGGACCAACTTACCTTGACCTATTTTAAAAATGGGCCTACCTAACTTGATCCATTTTTAATTTTCTCAAAATTTTTCTGGCCCGGTCCAGCTCACCACGGGTTGGTGGGTCATACAAGTCAGCTCACCACCCACCAAAAATTAAAAAAAATATATCAACGAAATTCAAAATTTTAAATTAATTATAAATTAACATAATAGTCATAAAATTAGCATCAATAATAGTCATAAGTCATAACTCATCATACAAAATTAAATACAAATCATGATAAAAGTTCAAAATATTTTTTTTTTAATATCTCATCATACAAAATTAACTATAAATCATAATCAAATTTCCATTGCAAAAAAAATTGGTGGGCTGGTGGGATGTCCGACCCACCACGGGTTCAGCCCAGGAGGGCTGGGTTTAGATATACCCATTTATTATAAAACTTCAATTTTTTTGGCTCGGACCAACCCATTTTCAAGGTGGGCTGGGTTGGCCCACAAGCCACAACTCATTTTGACGGCTCTAAGATTAGTCAATTTTAAGACATTGTGTAAACTATATTCATGAAAAAATTATTAATCTAGATTGAGTCAGTTAGACAACCTAGAACATAGCTCAAACTCATCTTAAAAATATACCAAGTTTAATTTCAAAATTCAAACCCATCTAAATCAACCTCAAGCTAGCATAATATGTTATTTGTGGTTCATGTGCATAATAAAGATTCAAAGATAACATATCAACTCCTATATGTTAAACATGAACAATTATTTTGTACAAAAGTGGTTTTATGAACTTTTCTTTGATGAGAATATTTTTAGGGGGGTGTATTGGATTAGGATTTTAAAGGACTTTTTTAGTAAAAAAAATCCTGCCAATTTTAAAAGACTTTGCAGAATTTTCATGACTTTTAAGATTTTGCAGGATTCTACAAGATTTAAAATCAGAATTTTAATGGATTCTATAAGACTTTTAAATCAAGATTTTAATGGATTTTGTGGGATTTTATGGAGTTTTGACATTTGATAAGATTTAAAAAAAAATTCATACATTCAAATTTAAAAAGAGTCAAAGATAAAAATAATTAAAAAAACAACAATGTCTAGATAAATAATAATAATAATTCTCCATAATATTCTATCATCTTTTTATAGCATCCACTATCAATTGTAACAATTCATTGGAATCCTCCTTGGTCCAAGCTTCATAGTTTTCTTTCTCTTTTCCTTTTTCTTTATTATTTCCATGTGAATCTCCCATTTGAATTACTAAAACAATATATGTTGAAAACTAGTTATATAAATAATTATGGATAAGAGACAAAATCAATAAAATTATATTATTATTTTTAGAAGCACACCAATTATACAAGATCGAATATAT